ATTATCGGGTTTGTTGAGAATGAACCGTAGAGGAAAGGAAGGCTCGAAGGAGGTACAACGAGGTGTCCTACTGTCCTCAGAGGAATTTGCGATGTCGGATCGTGCGAAGGTGAATGAGTCGAGGACACACTGGTGGCACTTGTAATTACATGATCTATAGAGGTTCCACCGTAGAATTAAGATTCCACGTAGGGAAAAATCGAGAGAAGTTTACGACTCCTCTTTGATCGTTTCAAGTCGTTTCTAAGCAAAATGTATAGACTTGAAGAAGAGAAAGAAAGAGAGAGAGAGACAGAAAGAGAGAGAGAGAGAGAGAAAACGTGTATAAGAGTCGGTCAACCGCATCGATGAGAGAAGAGCTTCAGATAAAGCCTATAGCCTAGCTCTATCTCTCTCTTTCGCTTATATACACGTAAATAAAGAGAAAGAGAGAGAGAGAGAGAGAGAGAAATATCGATAGGAACACACACTAACTCACGTTAGCGAGTACCGACGCTAAGTCACGACCTACTAATGAATGATTATGCTACAATTTGCCCCGGGACGGCAGCTATCGCAATTTATTAAATTACAGTGATTCGTGCCCCGGCTCTCAGCATCCGGTAGTCGCGCGTCGCTATTCGCGAGGATAATTCCCCTCGTCGATTTTCGATTCCGATTCTGTCCTGGTGTTTCGTGTAAAATCTTTATCTATTTGTGTACGTATGTACATACGTACGTATGTATATATACAAGTAGATTTATCTCGATATGTCTAACCTCATTCAAACGAATATTCTTCGTGAAATGTATCGCGAACGCGTGGAATCTTTCAGATGATCGTAATTACGTGTATATATATATATTCTGTTTTGTTTTCTTTTTAGTTCTATCAGATTGCGCGATGACGAATCGATGGCCTTTTATCGTTTCAAACCGTGAACATCGATTTCAAGATGATATTCGAATAATACGACACCGTGAATTTCATTATTCAGGTTTGAGTCTATGATTCTCGTTAATAGAAAATAAAATAATCTCTTTCGTTGATCCGGGTATCTTCTTTCTTCGTTTCTTCTTCTTCTTTTTCTTTTTTTCTTTTTTTTTCCCCTTTTTCGTTCAATATAATTCATATGAACATTCGCAGGTGTAAAGAATTACTAACACAAAATATTACTATATAGACGTATAAAATAACTCAAGGGAAATATTAAAAGAACGACAAATTTACGAAAGTATCATGTAAAAGTTTTACGGTCATGTTTTTGACGAACAAAGGTGTGGTAATACTCGTGGTAATTAAAATTGTGCTCTTGTTCTCACGATATTCATTTAAAATGTACGATGTTAATAAAAGGGAAAGATTATATGGAGATGTGAGACTAGTCGTCTTCGTGCTTCTGAAGGATTATACATAAACGAGTTATCACGATTAGAAGAAGAAGACAACGACGACGAAGACGACAACGAAGATGACGAAGACGACGACGGAGATGACGAGTAGAACGGATCGCAAGATTCTATCTTCCATGATTAGCATTAAATTAGATGACAAGAGCACGACGCGGCTTAGTCTCGCATCAGCGTTACGTAACGACGATTACGATTCTTTCTTACATTGCAGTTACTCGTTCGTTGCTGCGTAATATAATCTCCTTTACTTCGATTGTTTCTATACTACAAGCTCTGCAATATATATATATATATATATATATATATATATATATATATATATATATATATGTTAAAAGACGGATATGTTTATAAAATAATACGACATCGAAGGAAAATCAGTCGTGTAACGCTACTACCAATGAAATTGTACATTTTCTCGTTATTTTGTTTTTTATCTTCTTTTTTTTTTTTCTTAATCTTTTCTTTTTTATCGTCTTGATATTACTTACACTCATTATTACCGTCGTCGTTCTTAATTCCATCTTGCACAAGATCACTTCGAGGAACACGACTCGCTTCAAGAAAATCTAATCGATTAAATATCAATATCGAATAGAAAAAAAAGTATATGACGAATGTTGGAAACGATTTACCGATTCTCTCTCTCTCTCTCTCTCTCTCTCTCTCTCTCTCTCTCTCTCTCACACATACTGTTATAATGTTTCCGTATGAACGTGTATGTATTCGTAAATAAATTAATTTATCGTAGGAAGGAAGAGTGGATTATAAAAAGATTGAAAAATGGTGAATTCTTAGCTTTCAATGATAAATTTTGATTGTAACATCGAAAAACAAAGGACAGACAAGAAGAATAAAAAGAAGCAGAAAGAAAGAAAAAGAGAGAGAGAGAGAGAGAAAAAAAAAAGAATCATATTATCCATCGTATATACGAGAATTCGAGACGGAATCGTTGCGTGTCGATGCAGTCATAAACAAGGGGCCATTAATTTAGCCACGAAGGATGCCCAATATCCTTCGAAAGCTTTTGCGGCGATGCACCGATAGGCAGCTAACGCGCGGATAAAATAAGTTTAAGGGCGTGAAATTGGAAGTAATTTTACAAGCCATAACGATCTACTAAATCTGTAAAATAATTAAGGGCGCAGATGTTCCTCCTCCCGTTTTACCACCCCCGACTACTTCACCTTCTCAACCCCCACGACCTAATCCCTTACTCCTTCTTCTTCTTCTCCTCCTTTTCATGATTCTTCTTCTTCTTCTTCTTCTTCTTCTTCTTTTCTTGTCTTCTTCTTTCCTACGAAGTCCTTTTTCTGAGCTACGTTGGCCCCTTGAATAACCGTATCTTGAAATTTCGAAATAGTCTTCACCGTCATTCCGAAAAATCAAAAGAGAAGATAAACGAAAGGATTTAAGAGCTTGTCCGAAATTAAAAGAAAATTGTAAATTCGTTACGGGCTTCTCAAATAACGGGGAAAGATTCGTGATCATACGAAAAGTACAAGTTTCGGAAGGGTTTCTCGAATAAGAAAAGAAAGAGAGAAAAAGAAAGAGAGAGAGAGAGAGAGAGAGAGAGAGAAAGAAAGAAAATTTGCGTGGACAGAAAATGCACGAATATTATTAAAATACCACGAACGTATTTGGCCTACTTCGACTTCTTAATATATTTATAACCGCGCATGTAAACAGCTTTTATTACGGGCCTATAAGAGAAAAGTGGTTCCCTCTTTAAAGAGCGGCGTATTAATTTATCATATTTATTGTGCGATCGGTCATGGCTATTTTACGAGACTGTAATTTCGTATCCTTAAAACGTATGATTATTTCCGATTAACGAAAGAATGGCCCCGATCTTACGCAATCTCCGATCGCACAATGCCTTGGGTTATTGTCCATGATGAGACGGTGTACATACGTTACAGTATACGTGACACCATTAATAATACGTAGCACGTTTCGTTGATGTACATACATAAGTACAATACGTATGTACATTGCCAAACCGATTTTGATTACCAAAACTGTCCCGGAACCGATTGCACGATTATCCAAATTTTCTCTTTTCGATCAAAAATTTTATAACCTTTATCGATGGTATTACTTAGCTAAAAAAAAAAAAATATATATATATATATATCATTTCAAATATATTTCGGATTGAACTTGCTCGGATAAAAAATTTCGATCGAATATTGACGGATCTGTCAGATTTTCTTTTTCTTTTTCTTTTTCTTTTTTTCTTTTTTTTTTTTTGTTAATATTTTTTCTTACTTCTTTTTTTTTCTCGTAAGTAACAAAAACTCACTGTCATCTTTTTTGTATTCTATGCCTTACAATATACAGATAGAACTACTTTCTGATTTGACACGGGGCATAATGAGATTCGATCGGCAAATAGTAAGGACAAAAGTTGATAATAGCTGCTTCGAAATCAAGTTCATATGTTATTTTAATGTTTCACGCAAGAGAAGTTCGGTATAAAGCAAATACCTTCGCTAAGCCAAGACGAGCAAAACCGCATTCTTTCAGTTTACCGCGGCAGCTGGTAAACACGTCGATACGTAGATATGTACATACGTACGCGTATCCCAGTTTCATATCGGGGCAAACCCGTTCTCACAGTGCTAAGATCATTTTTATGAAGTTTACATAATTTAGATTGGTTTATAATGATGTAATATAAATTCAGACCACCATGAGACTCGTACATATTTATTTCAGATAGTTCAATGAAGTATTAACAGTACCTACTTAGATATTTTTAAGTGTCTTTCCTTTCTAAATTTTTATGATTCTTTCGATATCTAATTTGTTTCGAATAAAAAATCAAATCAAACGGATATACTAGTTACAAAATTATGTCTTATATATATTTTTTTTTACGTATATATATATAAAACATTAAAATGATTACTTTTGATAAAGCCCATTTCGTTAATACATATATTGAAATTAACGCAAGGAAATCGCGAAAGTGGAATCCGATATATCGCGCCCAATAAGAAGCCTATTTGGTGGGGGACGTTTAAATTTAAAATATCCTACCGGAAAGTGACCAGTTTCCAACGCGCGACCACACGCAACGCTCGTAAAACCGGGTAACTCAGGCATGGATCTGGTAGGAGGCCAGCTCGCAATCAGCTCGGCTTTCCACGTGCTTACGAGTCAAGTCAAAGGTACGAGAAGAGGGAGGACCATGAACGAGGAGAGGAGGGAACGAGGAGAAGTCCGAGTAAAAACGGACCTGCTAACGATCCGCGACCACCTCATCTTGATGTCCAAGCCCGTAAACCTCTTACATCCGTCCTACTTCGGATTTAACTACAACATCCCGGACTCCGGTCTTTCATTTATGCGCCCTCCACTAACCTTGAAATACTCGCGATAACATTCGGCCAAATATATCGCAAGAATGTCGCGTAATCGTAAGTCCAGTTTATTTTATTACCCCTTACATGATCTTCCTTAAGCGTAACTATTACCTAGCTTGTACTTGCCCGTTACATTCAAATTCTACGTAAATTTCTACGTTAATAAAAAAGAATACTCGTTTTTTTTCATCTTTCTTTTTTTTCTCCTTTTCTCTCTATTTTTTTTCTTTTTTTTTCTAATTAGTTAACTCAATTTCTTAAAAAATCGATACTATTTGAATGACACAAGTTAACAATTTAACATTCGATTAACAATACAACGACAAATTTCATGAAGAAACGGCCTTTGTGTTTCATTTCTATTCAGATTGTGAATTCGTTCAGGATTTTCAAGTACAATGTTAGAATCTCGTTAATAACGATAATACCATATAACAATTTCCTCAACGGGCTAATTACCTTGCCTATACGCGTTCAACATCGGTCGACGTTGAACTTGATCAACAGGATTACGCGTGATGTCAGCGTTGAAAATACACTTTGGCACGTAAAGAGTGACTCATCGATGCTCACATTCGGCACGATCTAGCCCCGAAGGTGGTACGAAAGGTCGCTGAGACTCTCTCTCTCTCTCTCTTTCTTTTTTATTTCCTCTTCTTTTTTCTTCTATTAAGTGCACGTTATCTCTCTCTTGATCGTTTCTTCCCAAGCAATTAGCTTCGCAGCATTAACATTTTCGAGACGATAAATCATTAAGTATCGCGAATGAATCCAACCGAAAGTGTCGTACAATCAATCATTTACGATCGAAAGCTCGTTAATCCGTTTTTCGTCGTCTTCTCATTTCTCGGAAATAATTAACGAGCCTTCGATAAAGTGTCTTAAGTAAATGAAATGTCGTTTTATGTAACGTGACGACGTTGTCTACGATTGCTAAAAGACACGTTCCTATGAATATATGTCGTCGAAAACAAAACGACGACATAAAGGAATTATTAACTACCGGTGCGATGTCCATCTTTATTCTACGAACCATTACAAGAAAATACGGTAGTCGTACTGATCGTCTCTGGTTCGTGGTCGGTGTATATTCCGAAGGACAGTTTTCTAGAGACAGGGACTGATCCATAATAAAATATTTATCGTTAATAAATACGAATAAAATTAATTTCTATCAATCAATTCGTAACAATAATCGTTTTTTCAAAAAAAAAAAAAAAAAAGAAAGAAAAGAACATTGCAATCGTAAACATTTCAAAATTGTCTTCAAAATTATTCATAATCTTTTTTTAGATTGAATTTAATTATCCTCGAAAGAAGATTCATAGTTTTGGGAATATCCATGTCAAATTATATTTACGCTTTTGAACTTTGGTCTAAAATAGATAGTCAAATATTTTTTAGAATAGATCGTAAAGAGAAAAAGATAGAAGCGGCCCTGTGATCGAAGTCGGCAATCGGTAGTCGGTACCGGCCGGAACCCATTCAGCTGCTGGATGTCGGTTTACGGTATACGGTCTGTCTCTTTCTCTCTTCTCTCTTTTTCTCTCTCTCTCTCTCTTTTCTCTTTCGCTCTTTCTCTTTCTCACTCTTTCTTTCTTGAAGAAGATTGCTTATTAGGATGGCGGGGAGCTATGAAATAGAAAGGCCAGTGACAATTTGATAGATTGAGCTTTTTGTCGCTTCTCTCGTCGTTAGAGCCGCCACCGGTGAAATTATTGACTTTTTTGTCGGTGACCAGTCGAATAACTAATAACGAGTCGCTTGTCCGTCTCATTTGCGACCAATGGTAGCCATTGTCCCATCATCGAGGAAGGATTACGGTAGTTCCGTGTTCGAACGAGACGAACTTCATGAATTGACGTAGAGTTACGTGTGATGCTTTTTGAAAAAAAAAAAAAACAAAAAGAAAGGATGAAAGAAAGAAAGAAAAAGGAAAAAAGTCGATTCGATTCGTTTCGACCTCGAATTTGTGCCACCTTAGAATCTTATTTGTTATTACAGATAAAGCGACTTAAGCTTCTATTTTTCTTCTCCCTTTCTCTATTTCTTTCTTTCTTTATTTCTTCCTCTTTACAATAACCATTATGTACCTGCGTAAATGAATTTTAATGATAATTGACAAGATTTATTGGTCAATGTAATTTAAAGATATTTTTTCAGGAATCTCTACCCTTCGTTAAAGAAAAAAACGTTACGAGTATACGAAGGTATTACTTATCGAAGCAGAAAATTGAGACCACTTACTATTATGAAAATTGAAGGAAAAGAAAAGTGATGGGAGGGGAGGAAAGAAAAAAGAAAAAAAATACAATTTATTTTCTTATATCGCAACATAAAATATATACCGCGTATTTATCGAAGCAGAAAGTTTATCATTTTATGTTAAAATTTTTAACAAAACTAATTCTCCGATCGCCAGTGAATATTTAATGAATAAGTATTTAATAAAAAAAAAAAAAAAAAAAAAAAAAAAAAAGAAAAAAAGAAAAAGAAAAAAAAGAAAAAATCATTAAAACACACACAATTAATACAAAATGACAATTCTCGCGTGACGAATCACGTGAGAAATTTAAATACTAGTGTAAATATTCATCCAAGCGGAAAGTTTTCTGTATCGTATTTAAAAAAAAAAAAAAAAAAAAAAAACCGTACTAAAAAAGAAATGCATTTCTCTTTTTCTTTCTTAGGTAGAAGCGTGCAGCGATCGCTCGACTCGAGCGCGTACATTCGCGTTCACGCTAATTTTAGAGAGAACGTCGGCGTGGCACGCTCGCGAACGAGATCAATTCAACTAGGTAGTCATATGAATTAAGGTCGATTCGTATCTTTTAAGAACGTTCGAATAAATTAACTATTTGAAAGTGTGATATTGCGTTGACATCTGTATAAAAAAAAAAAAAGAGAAGAAGAAAAATAGAAAAAGAAAGAAAAAAAAAATTTTAATATTTTCTTCTTTTTTTTTTTTTTTTTTTTATTAAAAAATAATAAAGGTTCTAATAAACCATTAAACGATTCAAAGGTGTGATATATCCTTGACATCTATATAAAGAAAAAAAAAATTCATTTTTTCAATTCAATATAAATTTCAAAAATTGAAAAAGAGAAAGTTAATTCTGAAATAAAAAAAAGAAAAAGAAAAAAAAAAGGAAAATAAAAAAATAATATAAAGATATATATAGGACATGATTTTTAATCGATTTTAATTTCGTTAATTTCAATAACGATTCGGAAGAAACGAAGACGGGCACTGTTGATCGATAAATTTGACTAAATTATAATCAAATCTCTATGAACGATTAAACGTAAAGAAAACAAAATGGGCAATATTTATAAAATAGTTCTTATATTCGCGAATTCATCTGTTCATTTTATTTTCTTCTTCTTTTTCTTAAAAATTTGCTTTATAAAGAGAAAAAGTAGATCATTCGTCATCATTAACGGTTGGTCACCGTTCATCGTTGTGTGGCCTTTCCTTGGCTCCTCCCTTTCGCTTCTAGCTACTTCCTCGTTGCCCGGTAAATCGTAAGCGGGTAAACGACGCGATTAATGATTTTATGGTTGAATTTCAGTGCTGTTCTCTGTCGTTATTAAACGTCTCAGTCGTTTGCCGTTTCCATCGGTAGCTTTATCTTCTCTCTCTCTCTCTCTCTCTCTCTCTCTCTCTTCTTTTCTCTTTCTTTATCTATCTGTCTATCTATCTCTTTCTTCCCACTGTGTATTACATACATATGTATATACGTATAAGTACGAACTAATACATATAGCGATCATCGAGATATGATAGAAGAAGAAGAAGAAAAAAAATGGTAAAAAAAAAAAACCGAGTGGCCGTGAAATTGGTCGCGGAGCAATCACTGAAACTACCATTATTATTAACATCATCCATGATCATTAAGGTTGCGTTAGTGTGCTTTGAATCTCAACGAGATTCGACGTTACTCAATCATCGTCTCTCCTCCAAAAAAAGAAAAAAAAAACAAACAAATAAAAAACACTACGAAATCTTAATCTGCTCGATTCGAGAAGTTAATCTTTCCCATCTATATATAAATATATATATATATATATATAAGTATGCACATCATATATATAAATATGTATATATATATATATATGTACATCACGTACGTACGTAGATATAAATAGAGAAAAAAAAATATCAATATCGTAGCTTCTTGCGTGAAAAATTCCGTTACACAATAATTCAACCAATAAATATTGCTATCTCTTACGATCATAAGCGTAAGTATCCATATGCGTATCCTGGATACGATGTTAGATGGTTACGTGGAAAAATAAAAATAGTCACTAGCAATCGTCGTTTCCCGTTTTCGCTCGTAAAAAAAAACGAAACGAAGGGAAATAAAGGGAGTATAACAGCGTTCAATTACATTCGGGCACGCACGCATTATTGTAGAGTTCTTCTAAAATGGAGAGAAAGAGAGAGAGAGAGAGAGAGAGAGAACTAGAATGAGAAAGAAAAGCGGTTCTGCGTCGATTCATATTTAAAAAGAAGAAAAAAAAATGATCGAGATTGTAACATTAAAAATAATTTTGTCTTTTTCTTACTCGATGAAATTACATAGAAATATTGTCAATCGATCGATCTAATCAAGAATAGAATGCTATTAGACAAAGGACAATCCATTCTCCTGTCTTAAGAGTTAGATTGTAACAATAAGATTTATCGCAAGATCATAAATATTCTTACGTAACAATTATCACGGTAAAATAATAATTGCTGAAATAATAATAATAATAATAATAATAATAATAAAAAGAAGAAGAAGAAAAAGAAGAAGACGACGAAAGAATCGACGGAACTTATTGGATTTTTATCCAATTACCACTCTAATCTTACTTACTTATATATATGTACATAAGGTATATACATTAATCATTTAAGATATAATTATATGTTGCTTGATAAAAGAATTAAAATAATTAAAAATATACTTACATCGAAAGGAAAGGTATAAAAGTATAGTTAAAATTTTATTATTAGGCTGACGTTCTTCGAACGACGTTGACTGTTCTACGACGTACCTACGACTAACAAGCTAAACAGCATACGAGCCATGAAATACAAAAAAAAAAAAAAAAGAAAACGTAAGCATTGAGGTCACCGTTGAGATAATCTATAATCGACATTGTGCCCAACGATACATATTTGTTTTTGTTTTTCAATATAATTCAGTGAGCGTACGAAATACGTACGACGTATGTCAATATATTCAGAATAATCATTATCTATACCTTATTTGTTATCACTCTGTCTCACTTACTCTAATATTTATTTCTTATATTTAACGAAGAAGAGCCAAGGAGTCTCTCGTTTAAACGAGGCACGTGCGCTCGTACAGTTTGATCGTTTTGAAATACAACAAGGACAGAAGGTAGGTATGTATGTATGTAAGTACGTCTCTTGTTCGATTCACGTCAACGCAATTGAGTTTCCGCAATTCCTACTTTCCCTCACTTTTTCCAAGAAACGAGGTAATACGATTGTGACAAAACTGTAAATTGGATATCGACCGGGCCTGAAAAGAGAGTCACCCGTTTCGGGTTGAGCCTAGTAAAGGTAATCAGGTTCGTTACCTTGACACAAGTGCCGGCTCGTACATTTCTGTACCATGTCGTTTCCCGTTAAACTTAGAAAATTGTCATAGTTAGCTTAGTTTAATATTTTCTAATAATAAATTAATTACTTTATCACAACGATACATATTGTACAATTATTATTAGAATAAATTCGATGAAGAACATATGTAGGAACATCTTGAAAAATTAAGATGTATGTTCTTTTTTTTTTTTTTTTTTTTCTTTCTTTCGTAAAGACCGAGTGGACCATCGAAATATTATAGATATTTAAAAATGACTCACCGTACAGATAGTTGGCGTTTGTCCATGAATCCTGTTGTTACTATAAAGATTCTCTGATCCCTTTTGAATATCCTGATGAGATCTTGATGACAATACGTTCGAACTTGTGACGTTGCTAGAATTTGCAACGTGACTTGTTGTAGGCAGAGTCGAAGCGAGAGGTAAATCAGGCCGGAAGAACCACGTTGGCCA